GCCAGGCTTGCCGCACACACTACAGCACTGAACCTTCGTACGAGCCCCCCTGGCACTACCGCCATCCGGCTGTATTTCTTCCACTGCCTCCTCACCCACGGCCTTCTGGTCCAGTAGATCCTGTGCATCTTGCACAGTAAGTGATCCTCCGAGCCGTACACGTGTTTTTTTAGCTCTCCGGCGCTTACTTAATGCCTCATTGGCCTTGCGGAGCGAAGCGTTCTCTGACTGAAGGAGGGCCACCTGGTGTATCACAGCCATCGTACCCTTAGTAAGCTGGTCTATAGCAACCAATATCGAAGTCGGGGAGCTATTTTAATGGTTGGTAATGCGAGTCTTGATAAGCGTTGACTGTGAGTTGGCTTCTCGGGGGTTTTGTGGTGTCTGGAATACCCAAGGTAGTGCCGTGCCCGGCCTTAAGGATGGGGGTGTTGGCGTACGAAGCTTTATATCTAGCTTAGAAAGTACCCTTTCTGGATCGTATAGTACAAGGCCAGCACCCGCAAAGCTACCCTATATATTCTTCTCCGTTACAGAGGCGAAGAAGGCCTCGCGGAAAGCACAGAGGAACTCGAGCTTACTTATATGGTTAATATATATACGCATCAAATCCTCGATCTGGCGGCCGTACGCCTGCTTTAATGGTCCAAAGCAGCCGATATCGAGTGGCTGGAGGAGGTGGGAGGAGTGTAGAGGTATGTAGAGCGTAATAATATTGCTCTGCTAGCAGTAACGCTCGAATTTAGTCGAGTAGTGGCTTTCGTGGCTATCGAGGATTAATAACCGGTATTTGCCCTTCGTACGGGACGCTATATAATGGAATCCAGGAGGAATACTTAATCTAATCTAGGCCTACCGGATTAGTAATCCAGCCATTATCGGTAGTTACGATACGCTAGGTAGATAGTAAATTGCATTCGGTATACTAGTTAGTAAGGTAGTATTATGCGGTTAAAATGATAAAGGGCGGGATAGCCTAGCTAAAGGTATTAACTCTTTGGATTACCGTTGCCCATTCGCGGTTACCAGGCTGGGCCAGTTTTGCTTTGTTAAAGCCGTCCGAAGTTATAACCACTATACCTGCGAAGATAATACCCATTATAAACCTAGTCTCGTCGAAGTTATAGATATTATTATCTATAATACTGTATTTAGCCTTAGTGTTCCGTACGAGTATAAACTACTCAGTAATAACCTTTAGATCCTTGCACTTAGCCCTTTAGTAGTCGTATTTACGCGTAAAACGCGTACGGAGCTGTAGCTAGCGTTTAACGAAGTTATAGGCCTAGCGTTTGCTAATAGGAGGCGCGTCGCGTACGCGTAGCAGTTGGTTGGCTATATCTTCCACACCACTTAATCTAGGTGGGAATGCGCGTGTAGATAGCTTAAGGACGTACTGAACTATCGTCTTCTCCTCCAGATCCGTTAAATTACGTGAGTTGGCCGGAATATCGCGTCGCATTGGTCGGCCATTACGCCTATGGCGGAGGGTTGCTTCTGGGACGTTATATAACTTGGCTGCAGTGCGGATACTAAGATCCTCCTTATTTTGAATAGCTTCGAGGGCAAGAAGAAGTCTCGCTTCTTTTGAAGGGCCGTCCATGGTTGTTGGTGGTGAATTGTAGTAGAAGATATTGAAGAGACGCGTTGTGGTGGAGAGTGCGTCGCTCGCTTATCTGCGTCGCTCGCTTATCATGCACGTTATGGAAAGTTAGTCGTACATAGTTCCGCAGTATGCAATACAAGTGCATCTGTACAAGTGTTAATCAGGCGTTGTGATTATATTGAAACAAGTCTTTTATTGTGCGCTTTTCACCTGCACCGAACCATTCGTTTAGAAGTTACCTTCAACTGTGTATCCCTTTCAGAGGTTCTGGATAGGTGTCCGTCACAAAGAGAAGAGCCGTGTGGTAAGTGGTATGACCGATAGAATGGTCGCTTTATCAAGCCAAAAATAGAAGAAAAGTCACGTAGTAGGCAGGTAGGGAGTGACGGATTTTATTTAGTCAAATAGCTACCACGACCCAGAGTCCCCTAAAACGGAGAGCAAATACGCTGGCGAGCTCGTTCTTAGTCCCCGTTTTGGTGGAGGAGTTGTTTGAGGGTCCCAAAAACGGGAGCCTCCCCACCCGGCCTCCTTCTCGTCCCTGTAGGAGAGGGAGGCTCCAAACTCGGACTATGAAAGAGCCGCTTAAAGTTGTTGTTTTTGGAGAATGGCGAGCGTAGGGTGAGCGGTGGTAAGCGGTGGTGAGCGGTGGTGAGCTAAAGGTGAGCCGAGGGTGAAGTGAGCCTGATTTTGGGCTAACCGTTCTCGGACCAGACACAAAAGGTTTTAGAGACCGACTACCTATATAATCACACCTGACAATATTTTGGCTCAGTCCGTATTAGTCTTACAAGGTGAGCAAAAGGTAAGCGTAGTGAGCATCACCCTAAGCTAAAGTGGGTCTAAGGACAGCTCGGCTATACTTACCGCAACCAAAACTAATCATAACTTCCGTTTTCTCCTTATGTATATTAGAAGCCTATTATTAAACCACTAGAACCTCCATTTATATTAAAATTGTAACTTTAGATATAGATAAACTTGCTCAATTCTTTTTCACAAAAGAAGAGACTTATGAATTGCAATATTATAAAGATCTAGTTACGACGGCGAGAATGTGTGTAGCAGACTAGCTGTCTGTTGCTGTTTCTATTTTGTTAAGGGTTATCTCCGTTACGTCTAACTTACAAACGGTTCCTATCTAAGGTTGCCTTTGAGTGAAGACCGCTCGATGCCTTCACTTTACAGACGCCAGCCAGCGCTCTATAAACGCTAGCCGGAGCTTCTTTAAGCAGGAGCCCATATATTTCTACGCATTTAGCCAGCTACTTCGTATCTCCCTTCTGACTTGGCTCTGACTATTTTTAACTCCGCCACTCTCGGGTTCACCGAAGTCTGCTGCTGCTCTATACCAGTTAACATATTCAATGTTCGCGGCCTCTAAGCTAAGAAGCAAGTCAGTTCCCACATCGGCAGTGGAATCATAACTCAACAGCTCTCTTCCCTCTATAAAGTGTTAGAAATCGCAGGGTTATCGGCAATACCGAGAGGAATAGAATCCTTGTTGATATGTGAATCTAAGTTCTTTCTGGGCGGGCCCCACAGCCCTCCCTTCCCCCCACCCACACTCCTAAATAAGGTACTAAGATTTTCCATGTAGCTGCCCACTATCCTAAGTGATTCCCAGGTCCTTAAATCGTTTCTTTAGACCGAGCTGAAGGCTTCGCTCGATGAATATATCGATGATCGTTCCAGCTCTTCTCAGACTTGATAGAGGCTGTGGAGGCGGGCAACCAGGAGGTGTTTACGGATAAGCTCTTGCCTTAGGGATAATTGTGGGCCTTGAAAGCTGAGCCAGTAAAGCTCAGGAGCGCTCACATCCTGTCATTAGGAACCAATCAGGAGTGGACCGATGGACCGGGGCGGAGCACACAGTCCTCGGTCCCTACCGTGGACCGGTGGGTTCGGAACGGTCCTCGGTCCTATGATGTATATATACGGAGGAACTGGCCAGTGTAGATAGTTCCGTAGTATGCAATTCACATCGTGAGTTCTAGGACCAAGCACTTACGAGAGACAATTGGTCTTGTTGTGTACCTTTTGGCTACACCGAACCGATATTCAGAAGCAGCCTTTAACCCAGTATCCCTTTCAGAGGTTCTTATCAGGGGTTCGTCACACGGAGCTGCTGGACCGTGACATTGATGCCTGTTACTGCTGTTGGGCACCGGAAGACACGGGCGGCTGTGAACGGCAACAGTGGTGTCTGGCATCAGACCAGCAAGAACCGGATTGTTCCATTTGAAGACCGTTATATGGAATGTCCCGAGAGGAGTTGACTTGTTACCGAACTGCTCGATAAGAACTTCATCCGAGCCAGCAGTTCACCAGCGTCAGCGCCTGTCTTATTTGTGAAGAAGCCAGGAGAAGGCTTGCGGTTTTGCGTCGATTATCGGGGTCTCAATGCGATTACCCGCAAGGATCCTCTTCCTCTGATCAGACAAGCTCGCGAACGCCCGCGAGCTTGCTTCCCAACAGCTCCCGAAGTCCATCTGCACAAAGACCCTGCACCGCCATACCATTGGACAAAAATGTTCTGGTCTCCGGCTTCTATCTGCCACTCGCAAGTGCCATTTTCCAGGGCACGACTGACGCGCCGTCCCCTCCACCCCAATAATTCCCCAGCAAGATACGGCATTTTTGCCGTCGAGGATGCCTATCGATATCTGGCTTTGAAACCCGGAGCCTTTGGCGACTGGTAGGTTCAACAATGTGATTCCCCATCTCAGCAACCCTACCGCCGGTATCCACACTCTGGAGTTTTATAGACTCCAAAAGCGAAGGGGGAATATGCTTTATCGAACGACGGATTGGTAAAATAGACCCCCACTTCTGGATGGGCAACGTTGATTATGCGCTATGGGTTGTGTTGCCGAGCCTGCCTAGCGCCAGTATCGGTTGGTTTTATAATCAGGCCCGAGGGTCGCGGCAAGGCTCATTCTCGATAATAAGGGGTAAGGAATCAGACGAATGTGATCCTAAAATATCATTCTGGGCGGAACGGCCTGCACCTCTGCTAGCAGATGGAACAAGGCAGGGTTCGCTTGATGTCCGGCCGAACGGGGCTGTCAAACCTATACAATGACAGCTGCACAGTGCCACATTGCGGGCGGCTAAACTTCCTCTTCAACGCCTGCCAACATCTTCAGCCTGCCAACAACTTCAACCTACCAACAGCTTCAACCCACCAACAGCTTCAACCCACCAACAGCTTCAACCTAGCAACATCTTCAACCTGCTAACATCTTCAACCTGACACCATCTAAAATACTCACTCCGTTGTCTCTTCACGTTCCGCTCACTGTCCTTCCTCATTGACCACAAATTCCCCTCGCATCAGATCTCCAACAATTTCATCCAAAATGTCTAACCTTGCGCGTGTCATTTCCAAGGTCTTCCGCCGGGAGCCGAACAGCGCAACCGCCGACACCACCGCCCCAACAGTGGCATGGCTCTTGGCTCACCGAGATGAACGCAAGGGGCAACCAGCACACAGCAAAGGCAAGACCCCCACAGTATCCCTGTACCGCATGTACGAGTATCTGGTCACCGGGTACATCACCGGCCTGCGATCTGAAATCGAGTACTTCTATAACCAACCATCGTGGGCTGTTTCCGACATCCCGGACCCTATCGACCCAGACCCGGAGCGGTACGCCATCCTCGCTGTCTTGCCATCAAATCTAGTAACGGCATTCAACCGTCTGATCGAGCGCGGACTGCCGCGCGGCAGTCCCGCTATTATCACTGGCGCCGCAGCGGAGAATGCGTTGAAAGCCCGGGAGATTGTCCTGGAAACGGAACCGGCCTGGGTGGCAAAGGTGCCGGCGTTGCGGCAGACTTTGATTATACCAGATAAGTCCGGTAAGCAGCCGGCGGAGGAGAGCAGGAGCAAGCGATTTTTGGACATGAATATCATTGCGGAGGAGCCTCACGTACTTTTTGTATAAAAGTAGTACATACAATGCTATATCATCACCTTGACCGGTCGCCTTCGCTCGTCATCCCGTAGGCCGCCTACCATGGCTGCATTAACAAGCAGGTATTTCGCCTCGGCAGCAGTGCCGAAAAGTGTGAGTAAAAACGCCTTCAGCGTCCATAAAAGATTCCAGAACCCACCGCCGGTAATTACAGTATCTTCATATGCTCTCTGCAACCCATCAAACTGCAGCCACTCCGTACCCGCACCCTCATGAACATGTCCAAACACATGCAGCTTGGGGCGAACTCGCCATAGTTCCCGCAACAGGTAGTCACAACCTAGTCTTTGCAGATCGAGATGTGCACGCGGAGGCCCATGGGTAATCAGTATATCGACACCTTTTGGTGTCGCTCCCGTCCAGACGTCTTTTCTGCGGGGATACTGGAAGGCCCAGTTCCCATGGCGAGGGGAGCGAGGACTGCCGTAAACGCGTAGTTGGCGACCGTTGGCGCAGGTAACGGTCGTCTCACTGTTCTCGAGATAGATGATATCGCCCCAGTTGATCATCTTGCCAGCCGCCTTTCCTGCATTGAAGTTATCGCCGCGATCGCCTGTATAGGATTCGTCGAGGAGTAAGTCGTGGTTTCCTGCAACGACGATCTTGACAGGGTGTGACTGGGCGCGCAGCCATGTAACTGCAGTCTGCAGTTCCTGTAAGGATCCCGACTGCGTAAGGTCGCCGGCGTGGATGAGGATGTCACCGTCCGGCAGCGCGGGTTGGCTGTTGTGGGTGTCGGAAATACAAACAACTGAGACGGGGTGTATCGGCTGTATGGGAATAATTTGTCCCCACGTGTAGAGCTTGTGCGCGAGGAAAATGCATGGCTGTTGAACAAATCGCTGCCAGGCGCTGGGACGTGGCCGGTTGAGCAGCGCATCGAGACCTGACATGAGGGAAAGTGGAGACCCGCTCGCTGGGAATTCCGATGTGACTTGAGGGAGTCGTCGCGGGAAGACTAAGGTAGAGAAATTCTGAATGTAAACCGAATATTCCCTCGCAAGGCACCAGAAAAATGGGGGAAAATAGCTGGGATATACAGCAGACCCAAAGCACTCTGATTGAAACGAACCTGGAATAGCATTTTGGTTTGTTGTGATAGTGGACAGCGCACGGGCCACTACCAACCGCGCCGTGCCTCCCAGTGATGGCATATGGAGGTGGCTGTGTTATAGGATAGGGCCAACAGCCTGGTTGTATGCTTCGAGGCTGCAGAATACACAGTGCAAAGAGTTTTCAGGTACTCCGCCTCAATATCAGGGCCACCGATGGGCGATCTGGTCAGCGCGTCCAAAGTCCGCCTGAAGTAATCAGCCCCTTGTGATGACTACCTTTTGAGACAAGTACTTACCGTTAGAAATAGGTAACGTACATGATAAGCGAGTGCACCAGATAAGCGAGTGCACCACTTTTTACCACCCCATCAACACTATCCTCAATTACAATATATTAATATAAGGAATTAACTATAATTACATCAGAAAGAGCTAAATCGGATGCTTCTGCAGCCTCCTGGCAAGTGCGCGCATTATGGCCCGGCTTACCGCATACACTACAGCACCGAACCTTCGTACGAGCCCCCCTATATTACTACTATCCGGCTACGTTTTTTGCACTCCCTCCCCATCCACAGCCTTCTAATCCAGTAAATCCTGTGCCTCTTGTACAGCAAGTGACCCTCTAAGACTCACACGTATTTTCTTTTAGCTCTCCGGCATTTCTCATGGCCGTGATGAAGGCTCGATCTTTGAACCTGTCAAAACCCTCCAATACCAGCGTAAATCCTCCCATTTGAGCTTCCGAGCGATAAGGTCGTCATTGAGGGCGCGAGAAATTCGGTCTTTTTCGGCGGCGGTGAACTCGGTGGGCCTACGCCCTCGACGGCCGGTACGCGGAGTCAACGGCGAATTGCAGGCGAGTTCAACTTACCTAAGGGACGCGCCAGTAGCCTAGGAAATGGCTTCGTAAGTGAATTTTGCGTCCTGGCGCAGGGTTCGTATTCGAAGCTATAGTCGGTCGGTCGGTCAGTCAGTCAGTTGAGCCGTTGAGGGTTAGGGATAATATATGGCTACCTTTTGGTCACGCGTGAGATCTGGGTGTCTGTATGGCTTTAGGTGCCAGTGTGGCCGGTATTGCCTTGCCAATTAAAGCCGGTAAAATCGCTCGGCCGAAGGTGAGGTGTAGGTGTTGATGTGTTTAACCGAAAGATGCCCTCCAGTGTCATGTCGTTCTGCTTGGATACCAATGCAAACCCGAGACGTGTACCATCCATGATGAAGAGGAGACCGAGTTTCTTGGCGTCTAGACAGCAAAAGCTGGCATTGTGATTGTGCTGGATCGGTTGATCCCTGGTGGTTCGGCATGAGAGAGCGTCGAGAACGTCTGGATGTGCTCCATCGCCGTAGTCGTTGAGGAACGTGCTGCGCTGTTCGTCTCGCGGGCACCATTTCATAATTGCTGTTGATCGTGGGAATACGCCGGACTCATCACGGAAGGATGAGTTGGTGGAAAGGTAGATGGTTAAAGGGCAGAATGGAAGTAGTAGCTAATTAAATAGGTAAGGTAGCTGGATCAAGCTACGTCTGGCAGGTATTTTGATTTGCAGTAGGCCCACAGAACGGGGACCTTGCAAAATCTGATAATCTTGATTACTCCTTCCCCTTCCTCTTATCCTAGGTAGGTATATTACAAATCGGCCAGACGCCTGAACGCCAAATTTTGATGCCACGTCATGTCGAGCCTGGCTCAACGGTTTATTCCGCCCCGACAGCAATGCCCTGGTCAACCTCACCACCCTTGTCCATCGGCGACAGGTTCGCCTTCGCAGGTCCAGTCACACAGATGCCCTCCTTGGAGAAGCGACTGCCATGCACCGGGCAGTCAAAGCTCTTCTCAGCAGAGTTCCAGCAAACGACGCCCTTGAGATGAGGGCAGAGAGCACTGTATGTATGCACCTGACCGTTCTCGTCCTTGTAGACAGCCATGGGCTTCTTGGTTTTCTAATGCTCTGTTAGTCACCGGACTCACACGTTACAAAGTCTGACTAAACTTACCGGATTCAACACACCGCCGCAGCCAGGCGCGAGATCCTCAATATCGGTGATGTCGCTCTGCAGAAAGCGCTTGTACTGGGCATTGATCTGCAAGTCGTGCGAGATCAAGCTCGGCAAGCTTTTGAGGATACTCGCGAGCCGGTTCGGCGCATACAGCGTGGCCCAATCGTTGGTCACTGTGTTGCCCTCGATCTCGTCCGCAATGAGCTTCCCAGCAAGCGTCCCGTGTGTCAGTCCATCGCCAGAGTCTCCCGTCACGATGTAAATCTTATCACAGCCCTGATTCTTGCCGATGAATCCCAAGAAGTCGACTGGCTCAAAGATCTGCCCGCTCCACTGGTAATCGATCTTGCCAGCCTGAGGAAACCGCTCACGAGTCCACTGCTCCAGCTCAGCATACCGCGGTGTTGTCTCCTCCTGGCCAACTTTGTGATCGCAGCCGCCAACAACCAAGTAGTCATCCTTGTCGTCGCAAGCTGTCAGGCGTACGTACTTGTACTCCTCGGCATTGTCATACAGTAGGCAGTCCTCGATGCTGCCTTTGGGTACGCGGATGGCAATGCAGTAACTCCGGTAGAACTCCAACTCGGTAATGACCGACAGCTTCTGCAGCGGCACGCACGTCGCCTCCACGGCATTCTCGGCCTTCACCGTGTGCCCATTCTCCGT